TCCTTTAAGAGAAAATTGCATGCAATTTTTTGGACTCAATTAGCCTTTTCCACAAAGAGCCCATTAAATAGCAAATGAAATTACATCGGTTTTCAGTTGCCATGGCATTGGTTCTCCCCCTAATGGACTTCCCTGGTCCCGAGTTTAATGTTAGCCTGACTTATTTTTCTTGTCTGTGTGCTGTCTCAATTCACTCTGTCCAGCCACCAAGTGATGTATGTGACTTCTCCCCACAAATGCTTACCGCATGAGCCAGAGAGTGAGAATTCAGCCTTCCGCTGTGTCCCCAGAGACTGGGAGGAAAGAAACTGACCAAGAGCAGCATTTCATTAACTGTGAACATAACAGTTTCTATTAATTAGATGACAGTGGGACCCATCCACACACTCAGGGCTCCAGGAGCTCCTCCCAGGTCAGTAGGACATGTATATTGTCCAAAAGGCTGAGGACATAAAAATACCAAGACAGCAGCAATGCAAGGGGCTCAGGCTTCCAGAGTTTCCAGACCAGAAGACCTACCTTCTCTTATTCATCCACCCACAAAGTGGGAGAGACTTTCCCAATGGCCTAATGCACAATTTTATTTTCTTATTAACTCCTATTTACCATGCGTTTATTTTTATTTTATTTATTTGTTTTATTTATTCAATGGGGGGAGGTACCAGGGATTAAACTCAGGGGCACTCCACCACTGAGCCACATCCCAAGCCCTCTTTTGTATTTTATTTAGAGACACAGTCTCACTGACTTAATTAGGGCTTCCCTTTTGCTGAGTCTGGCTTTGAACTCAATCCTCCTGCCTCAGCCTCGGGAGCCATTGGGATTGCAGGCATGTGCCAACGCCCCCAGTTTATTTTTAATTATTTTTTAATGTTGGGGATTAGACCCAAGGGCACTTAATCACTAAACCACATCCCCAATCCTTTTTATTTATTTATTTTTTAATTTTGAAAAAAGGGACTTGCTAAGTTGCTGAGGCTGGCTTTGAATTTATAATCCTCCTGCCTCAGCCTCCCCAGCGGCTAGGATCACAAGCATGTATCACTCCACCAGCTTAAATTGTGGTACATTTTAAACAATTTCCTTAACCAATAAATACTTCTAACACAAAAATATAAAATATACCATAAGTGCATTATTCTGAAGCCTCTTGTCTTCCAAGTGTTACTTTCCATGATATTTTACTGATTACCAGTGACAGTGACCATTATGTTACATCCATATCATTAGTTCTTATTTATGTGACTTTTTTTTTTTGCTTTTTTCATCTTCTTTTCTAATTTTTTGTTTCTTTTTTTCTTTTTTGTGTTTATTGGCTTGTTTTAAGATTATTTTTATGTGTTAAGGATATCAGCCATTTTTCATATAGTCTCAGTTTTATAACTGCCTTTTAAGATGTTTGACACACAGAAGTTGAACACTTTTGTTTTCTAATTTTTCTTTTTTTTTCTTCTTGGATTCAGCCTTTGATGCCAGGGCTCTAAAGAGCAAGTCCATCTTTCATGGACTTACCTTTTCTCTCTGATTGCTATGAGCCTAATTCTTTAGAGTCAGCCTCAAGGGAGAAGAGTTGAGTTCCCCACACAGCTCTATTTCTGATCTCTAGGGAGTCTCCTGGGTTGACAGGGATAGAAGAGATGGGAAAGGGGAAGTCTCCGTGGAGTACCAGGACTGGCCACTGTTTCCTTTGTACTGGAGGAAATCACATGAAAAGTCAGCAGCATGTAAAGTTAGGAAAGCTTCAGTACTGCACAATGAGTAGGTTTGGAGCTTTGATGGACACGGGGCAACTGTAGTGAATAACACGAGGTTATGCACTTAAATGTCGCTGAAGCTACCTTTTGAATGTTCTCTCCACAAAAGTTTTTGGTTTTTTTAAGTGAATCATTGAGCAAATATATAATTTCTAAAAATATATATTCTTCTAAAAATCTAAAAAATGAAAAATTTAAACTAATGAAAATATGAATAAAAATGGAAACTAAATCTAAAAAGAAATGAATAAATTAAAAAGTGGAATGGGTCTTGTCTGTGTCTCTGTGCCAGACCCCTCCTCCTAGAGTAGGCAAGGAGGAGAGGCTGGGCTGAGAAGACAGAGGTATCTTTTATGAACGCTGCAGTCTTACCACATTTCTTTTCTTTTCTTTTCTTTTTTTTTAGTTGTCAATGGACTTTATTTATTTATATGTGGTGCTGACACTCGAACCCAGTGTCTCACGCATACTAGTGTGCTCCACCACTGAGCCACAACCCCAGCCCTGAACTTTTTTCTTTCTTTGAGTCCTTCCCCTTGATATACATGCATTCCCTTTTATCTCCAACTGTAGGTAATTTTCTGTATTATCCCAGAGTTCTCCAACAACCACTGTATTTATGCTCACTTTTGCAGACAAAATTTTTTTAGCAATTGTATACCTATACCATCTCTTATCAAACCCCCTTTCACACTGTTCTCATCTGGCTTCTATACCAATTCACCAAAATTGTTTTTATCAGTGGCAAGTCCCTTCCAGTTTAGGGAACATCTCATTACACTTTGATGGCCATACCCCTCCCTGCTTCCAGAACCTACCTCTTTTGTAGTCTCTGTTGTCCAAAAGACAGTTTTAGGTTTCTCTGATGGCTCCTCCCTATCCTTCTCAAGACTGAAAGTTAAAATTCACGGGGCTTTGCCCTAGCTTCTCTTTTATAGAGATATATACTGCTTATCCAGGTGGTTTTATTGATTTTCTTGGCTTCAAATGCAATCTATAGGCCAACAATTCTGAAAGTTGTAGCTTTAGTCCACAGTTTTCTTTTGAAATCCATACTTTTATATCAAAAGTATTCTTGGCTTAATCACTTTGAAGTCTCAAAGAGATCTGAAACTTCTCATGTATAAAGCCAATCTAGGAGAACTTTACCTGACTTAATATAAAGCTGCAGCAATCAAATCAGTGGAGCACTATAAAAAATAGACACATAGATCAATGGAATAGGCTAAAGTCCACAAATAAACCCATACATTTATGACCAATTGATTTTTGATAAAGATACCAAGGCAGTTCAGTAATGATAGAATAGTGTTTTTAAAAAGGGGTGCTGAAACAATTGGACATTCATGTTTAAAAAAAAAAAAAGGATGAACTTCAATTCATATCTCATGCTATCTATAAAAATTAACTCAAAATAAATTCTTGCCCTAGGAGAAAAAGCTAAAATTATAAAACTTATAGAAGAGAACATAAGAGAAAATGTTATCTGATATAGGCAGAGATTTCTTAGATAGGACACAAAAGGCATAAATCATAAGAGGAAAAAAAATTAATTAATTTTATCAAAATTAAATACTTCAGGCTGGGGTTGTGGCTCAATGGTAGAGCGCACTCCTAGCATATGCAAGGCCCTGGGTTTGATCCTCAATACCACATAAAAATAAATAAATAAAGTAAAGGTATAAAAAATTAAATACTTCTACTCTTTGAAAGACTCTTCTAAGAAAATGAAAAGTAAAGCCAAAAAAAAAAGTTAAAATATGGGCAAACTATACACCTGCAAAAAAGGAATAGTAACCAGAGTATGTAAAGACTCTCTCAAATCAACAATAAGAAATCAAATAACCTACTTAAAAACAACAACCAAAAAAAGGAGCAAAAATGCAAAGAGGTAATTCACCAAAGTGAATGTATAATGAGCAAATAAATACATGAAAACATACTTAACATTCTTAGTCATTAGGAAATTCAAATTAAAACCACAATGAGATACCAATCTATACTTATAAGGGTGTTAAAATTTTTTTTTAATATCTAACATCAAATTTTGACAAAGATAGGAAAATATGGAATTTTATCACATTGCTGGTGGAGATACGAAATGGTATAATCACTTACCAAAACAGTGTGCCCATCTTGTATGAATTTACTATATGACTCCTTGGTATTTATTCAAAAGAAAACATGTCCATGTAAGAATCTGTACACACATATCTATTTCAGCATGTTTTCAAAACTGATGAAGTAGGAATATTCCAAATGTGCCTCTACTGGGGAGTGAATAAACTGCATTATGTGCTCACCCTGGCATAGTCCTCAGGCAGTAAAAGGTCTGACCTACTGGTCCAATCCTCCACGTGGATGAATCTCAAACCCATTATGATAAGTGGGAGGAACCATACCAAAGGCCTACACCTTGTATGATTTCACTTTTAGGACATTCTAAAAAGGCAAGACTATAGAGACAGAAGACAGATCAGTGGTTATTGTGGAAGGAATAAATAAATACAAAGGGCAGGGCTGGGGTTGTGGCTCAGCAGTGGACCACTGGCCTAGAACTTATAGGGTGCTGGGTTCAATCCTCAGCACTACATAAAAATAAAGTAAAGGTATTGTGTCCAACTAAAACAAAATATTTTTAAAAAAATAAAAGGGAATCAAGAACCTTTTTAAGGTGTGGTGATGGTCTCACAAAAATGGTGTTTCTCAAAATCAGGTGAATTTTACGGTGTGCTGATTACACCTCTATTAACGAGACTTTAAAAAATCTACCTTAAAAATCATCCTGCCATACATGCTTCTTTCTCAAGTTTCTCCATCTCAAAAAATAACATTACTATCTACCCGTTTTCTGAAACCAGAGACCTGGAGATGATACTTGGAACTTCCTTTTCCTTCACCCCCCCAACACCCACATCTAATCCATCTCCGAATTCCATCAATTCCTCTCCCAAAATATATTACATGCATAGTAGGAACAGAATAAATATTTGTTAAGGAAAGGAGTAAATTGATGCACTTCCTACACTTAAAAAATAGTAAGATGGCAAAGTGCTCATTACCGCAGGACCTTGGCTACATAAGAACTACATAAATGCTTGTGTATGTTTACCCTACAGCTCTTAAGCTAAGCTTAAGGCAGGGAGATGCCTACTACACTGCTGCCCAAAGTAAAGGGGGATCATCAAGTCTCAAGCCCTCCAGTGTGTTAGCAGACAGTTATGCCAGCCTCCCAGAAAGGCTTACCTCTCCACACCAACTGCTTGGCACAGAGAATGGAGCTCGGAGTTGTACAGAAGTGCAAAGCCGTGTGTCCGCTTAGGGAGTAGCTATTGAGCTTTGCTCCCCGGTCGCAGAGGATCTTCACGCAGTCTAGGTTGGCCATTTCACAAGCCACGTGAAGAGGAGTTTTTCCATTGGGTCGACAGTTGATGGTGGCATTATGGTCCAATAGCACCAGGAGACATTCCACATGACCAAACAGCACAGACAGGTGCAGGCCTGTTGCCCAGGATGACTTCAACTTATAACTAGGCAACCAATAACCTGAAAGAGAAAAGGAAAGATGGTTTTAACTTTTTGACTTAGAGTTTCAAAAGAATTTTTTTTTCTCGTATTTATAAAATCAAGGCACAAAATTACTCCGTGATTTTGGATCAGTAGATAGAAAGTCTACCAGTGTTTCATTCAGTAGCATATTTATATGCACTTCAATGGGTCAGCCTTTCTCCTGGTCTAGTAAGAACTGTCTCTACCATTTTTATTATCTTGTTCTTTTATTTACTGTACCTCCCTAGATTTCAAAAGTACTTCAATTTAAGACTGTCGTTTATGTGACTGTATTTTATTTTACACGGTGAGTTACATAGACTCTTCAGGATATTTTTTTTAATTGTTAATGAATCTTTATTTTATTTATTTATTTATTTATGTTAATGGGGTACTGAGAATTGAACCCAGTGCCTCGTACATGCTAGGCAAGAGCTCTACCACTGAGCCACAACCCCAGCCCACTCTTCAGGAATTTTAATTCCCAATCATGATTTATCTTGAACAATTTCAAAGCTATAAATTTATAAGCTTATAATTTTACTTCATCCCAATTCTTTTTCCCTACACTTATTATTGTCCAAAGTGTGATTATGTTCAATATTTCTTAAAAATCTGTCACATCAAAGGCTGGGGATAGAGCCCTTGATCAGCATGTGCAAGTTCTGGGTTCCATCATTAATGCTGAAAAAAAAAATTAAAAAATTAGAAAGTCACATGGAGATTTTACATGCCTACCTTTGGCCTATACAATATCTCTTTCCAAAGAAGAATTTAAAGTAAATCACAAATGTTTACACAATACATGATTTTTAAAAATGATATAGAAAATAGATAAAAAGAAAAATGAGAAGAGTTCAAGAGTAAGGTAGGGTCTATGTTCTGTGCAATAGAACTGCATTGCAAATTTGCCTTTGAACTTCCTGGCAGCCTAAATAAACAGGAAAACTAGATGTGTTTCACAGTAAACTGTGACCACAAGAGCTATACACAAATTAATAGATCAGGAGAAGAATAGCTCTAGAACTGAGATCTTAAATAAAATTTTCCCATTAGTTATTAAAACTTCTTCTCTTTTCCTCTTCCTCTCTCTCTCCCTCCCTCTCTTTCTTATCCTCCTGACCCAATATTTTTTAACACTGAGTCTTTTTTCTGCAAGTCTTCGAGAATTGCCATATTTGACATCATTGTTAAATGATGGCTTTATAAACCTTTCTATGTCAATACCTACAGCCACAGCATTTGAACTCACTATGAATGAGGAATGGGAAATAGGTAGAGAAAGATGAAATATTGATGCCAAGATGAAGATGTGAAGATAACTCAACAGCCTAGTGGAGGCTTGAGGGCTGAAACAACAAAATAAATTTTAACATGGATAAGTCAAAAATTTGCTTTGAGGCTATAAACATTCTACTGACAAGTAGGAGGTTAGCAGAATATGGTTTAATGGTGATTTATTTGAGAAAAGACCTCGGGATTTGAGTTGACAGTAAGCTCAAATAAGCCAACAGTGGGGTGGAGGTGCCACATTAATTAAAGTACACAGACTAGAACAAGAGAACTAAAAGGGGTGTTCTTACCTGATTAAATGAAGCCAGAATAACTCTAGAATAGTGTGATTACTTCTGGGCACTGACCCTTGCAAGAATTGACAAGCAACTAGTGGGCACTCAGAGGGTGATGGCCACACTAAAAGTAAACCTGGTAATGAGGTATTAAAATTCTCTCATTTAAGCAAAAAAAAAAAAAAAAAAAAAAAAACTACATATGTATTACTCTTGGATATTTTTCCTACAAGCATATTCACTCCTGTGTGAAATGTCCTGAAGGAACACACTGTACTGTCCAACTCAAAGAAATCATTTGCATTGTGCTCTGTGAAAGGTGATTTTGAGAGTCATGAATCCTGGCAACCTGACATATGTATAAGAATATACATATACTACAGCATTGTTTCTAAGAGTTAAACAATTTTTAAGAAATTCATTGTTCATCAATAGGAATCTATTTAAATAAATATAATGCATCCATACAACTAAATCCTATACAGCTATTAAAAATAATTGGACAATTCTATGTACACTGAAATGGACAAATGTCAAGATATATTATGCTATCGTATGCAAATATATTTTAAATACTAGAACAAGAAAGTGTTTATAATGGTGGGTTCCAAGAACTGAAGAACTGGGGAACTGGGGGACAAGGACATAGATGTATATTCTTGAATGCCCCCTTTGTCACTTTTAAACTTAGTACCTGCTGCATTACTTTTTTTTAATTAGTAAAAATAAACTATTAGCTTTCTATTGGGCATGGGAGGATTAAAGAAGCCATTTACAGGATGAATGAACTTACCCAAAGTTTGTCTACCCTTTAACCTAGATATACACTGAGAGACAGACAGGCAGACACACACACACACACACACACACACACACATACACACAATTAATCCCTTTTGTATCCTATTCAGAATTCTACTGCTATCTTGCTTTCTTTCTGTCCCCTGTGTCCCCTTACCCAATATACCCTTTCAAAAGAACTCCATTTATTTCACACTAAGTCTAATAATGGATTGAGGATTGAAATGTAATCTCTCAGGATTATCTGAATTTATGTAGAAATCTGTATTCAGCCAATAGAATTGAGTTCTAAGACACTAATTTAAGATTCTAGACACTGAGAAAACAACATTTAGTGATATGGCCTTTCCCTGGCAAAATCGTGTGTCCTTAAGTTCATAGTTTCATAGACAGTCTAAGCCTCAAGTGTGGTTCCATATGATGGTACGCATACAATATAGGGGTGTGTGTGTGTGTGTGTGTGTGTGTGTGTGTATTCATATCTACACTTGCTTACACATTTCTATTTATTTATTTATGTTGAATCTATGTTCCAAGCAGAGTTCTTATGTTATATGGTATGCAACCTGCTTTTGATGATGAATGAATTACATTAAAAGCAATATTTAAATCATTTTAATATTCAAATTTCCTCAATGAGCAACTTGCAAAGACAGCTTTCTCTGTCTTGGAAAGAAGCTGGTTCCAGATCTGCACACCAGGGTGGGTGTGTTTTCCCTGCTGATTAGCAGCACAGCTTAGACAGCTCCATGCTGCAACTGATGGGAAACTCACGCCTGCTTCTGTAAGGGGAAGAAAAATGATCTCGCAAAGGAAGCAGCAGAGAACTGATTAAGAAAACACCATTTTGATGTAAAATCAAAGAAACGCAGAATGTTAGCGCTGAAGGGAAGATTATCCAGTCCAAGCCTTTCATTTTCCAGATGAGAAAACTGCCACTTTTTCAGTTTGCTAAAGCCATAAGTCGCCTGCCTCAGCCCAAGCTCATAGACTCAGAATATCTGCAATGCAGTTTTCATCTGTCTTTGTCTTTGTGGAAGCAGAATAGGTTTAGCTCCAAGCCTGTTTTACCAATCACAAAGAAAGGAAGAAGATCCTGAATTCATCTATAATATGTCACATCTCAGATATGGAAATGTATTTGCTTGTTGATTTTTTTTCTTTCTCTTAAATTCCCAGTAGCACCTAGAGAATTTATCCTGCCCGTTTATTACATGAATCAGTCATCCTTGGCTTCTCAGCTAGTTTCATCTGCATCTCCTGTAATCATAACCATTAACTGGCAAATCAGGCTCACAGACCACCAGACCCTGAATTCGTCCAACTCCCAGAATGGCCTTGTGCCTACAACTTGCCTTTCCTAGAAAAAAATTGTATAGTTGGGGGACATCAAGGCACCTTAGCTACATCTCCTGGGGAGCTGGCAGGGAGAAAAGGGAATAAACAGACCATAGGCTATGGCTCAGGGTATGCTGGTAGGTATCCTGAAGCTCTGTTGCAGAACTTAAGTGTGCTAGGAGGGGCTTCTAGACGATTCAGCCCAGAGCAGAACAGAGAAGGCTGCTGCTCTGAGCAGAGAAAAGAGCAGCCCTTAGCTAAGAGGCCACCCACATACAATCAACCACCTTAAAATGAGTCTGGAGCCCCAGGTTACACTGTGTAGCAAGCGTGGAAATAAGTACACCTATCCCTAGGGAGGACCAAACCCGAGCTAAGACTGTCTTCAAAACCACAGGCTATATTGTCATATTGTGAGCATGGATGAATGTGTAACAACAAATCCCATTAATATGTACAACTATAAAAAATAAAAAATGTGAAAAAATGAAAAAAAACTGATAAAGTTATGCCTGTTAGCATACTTGTGTGCATGCTGATAAGTCAAGAGATCAAAATGTGTTCTCCAAAATAAACCCACCAATGGTCAAAGGCATAAGGAAACACAGCAAAGTAATCAGGCAGATTCATTTTTTATACTCTCCCTTCTTCTCCCAGCAGAATTTTCCCAGGACTTTGAAACCTAGAATGTGATTTATTCTTAGTGTTTGTCTTTCAAAGGCCCCCCTCTGTTCACCTCTGCAGATGCTGGGCTGCCCTTTCTCTGTGTGCTCAGACTGCACAAAGGACAGGGGTGGGCAGCAAGCAGGAGACAAAGCCAGCGGCCGGGTGGGGGGTGAAGAAGCGGCTGCCTCCCTCTGCTGCAAACCACTCACACTCCCATCTCATATCTTCCCTCTGTGCACAGTGATGGCTCCTTTCAGAACAGCTTGGCTTTAGCAAGGGGCTCAATGGAAAAGAAGCCAGGGAAGGGAAATACAGATTCTTCTCCCCGTGCACGAATCCCACAGAGGACTCCCTTGATTTCACCTTTATAACATCATAGATTACTGAGGGTTTAGCAAAGCCTCCATATTACACATGAAGACAATTAGTCTGGTAGAGGTTAATCAGTAAATTGTTCCCATGTTCATATAACTAGTCCTGACAAAGTCAAACTCTCAAACTCTGTGTCCCCAAAAATCTGTGATTTAGAGGCTACAAACGGTTCATCTCCAAACCAGCATCACTTGTAGCTAAAAGTTCTAAGGAATGTTAGAAGTTTTCCCCTTGCAAAAAATATGCAGACTA